CTGGAACTCACTGTGTAGACCAGGCTGGCCTGGAACTCACAGAGATCCACATGCCTCTGCCTCCCAAGTGCTGGGACTACAGGTGTGCACCGCCGTACCCCTAACAAGACCTATCTTTAAAAGAAAAAGGGGAGAAAAAAGAGTATGTTTCCGGTATTTAAAGGCCATGTCAGTTTGCTGCTGCTACCACTGTGGTGGCAGGAAGCTGCTGGTGGAAGACAGCTCGCTGCTGTTTACCTCAGCCTCCCTTGCAGGGACCTCCTGGCAAGCTGGAGTAGTCAGTGGCTGGGAGGCTTATTGATGGATAGATAGTGATGACATCTTGGGCTTGACTTTGAAGTAGTTTTGTGTGTTTGTGGTGGTGTGGAGCTGCCTTCACCCAGCTGTCACTGGGTCCCCTGCCTGCTGAAGACAAGGCCCGGTGCTGTACTTAGTCTGTTGTTGACTCTTACTTGGGGTGTCGTGGGTAACAGAAGGTACATTGTATTCTTAGAGTAGGAGCGCTACAGAAGAGCGCTTTGTGAACTTCACCTTTTGATCTCCACCACTTGGTGTGTAGCCTTAAATTCCTTTCCCAGAGCTGTCCCTGCTGTCACTTGTAACTAAATGTGCTTCCATCCAGGGTTCAAGGCAGCTCATGAGAGTAAGGTGAGGGAGTGGCTTCTGCTTGTGGAGAGATGGGCTCTGAGCTTCTGTATAGAGGCTTCTTGTCTTGAAGTGCTCTGCAGAGGGGGTCAGGGGCTTTGTATCTTTTTGTTGTTTGTTCTGAGACAAGGTCTCACTGTGTAAGCCCTAGCCTGTCTGGAACTCATTATGTAGGCCAGGTCCGCCTGCCTCTGCCTCCCACGTGCTGGGATTAAAGTGATTGAGGTGTGCATCACTACGGCCATCCGTGCTGCACGAGCCCTGTACAGTAGCAAGTCAAGTGGTGGCAGACGCTTTTGAGGAGGAGAAGAGCTTTCACTGGGGCCTTGGGAGGTTGTAGTTTCAATACGAAGGGAAGGAGATGCCTGCTGACAAGATGACGAGCTCTCAGTGCTGAATTAGGAAGACGTTTCTCACGTTTGCTTTGTTCATAGTCTCAAGAATTTGCAAATGTCGCTGAGAGGGTATAGGAGGGGTGTGGCACAGGAGACCACTCTGCTTCAGCACCAGAGCAGGCTTTCACTTTCTTCCTGAAGCCTGATGATTGGCTTCCTGGAAGTCCCTGGAGAGATGGCCTGCAGTCACCTGGTGGCAGTTCTTTGGAAGCAGTCGTGACTAAGGAAATGTACCCTGCGTCTTCTGAAACTGCTTAGCGTAGTCCCAGGGCTCCTGGTACCGTGCTGCTCACGGGAAACACCAAACTCACTCAGCAGCAGGGGATTAACTGGACAGAGATTTCTTGGCCACCTGTCTGATGACAAGTCTTTTGCTGGGTCCTGGGATGGCTCCACTGAGCCAGTGGACAGGTTCTCTGTCTTCATCAAACTTGTTCTTCAGTTGGGTTGACTGATTTCATTGCTGGTAAACACTGATGAACAACAGTTTGAAGCAGAGTTGTGATCCCTGTACCTAGCATCTGCAGTGATGATTTTCTCAGTCTGAGTTTATTTGTAGTATACCTTTGCCTGTCTAAAACCTACTGTGTAATGGGCTGGGTGGGTTAGCTCAGTGGGTAAAGGTGCTTGCTCCCAAGCCTGATGATTTGAATTGGGACCCACATGATGGAAGGGAAGAAATGATTCCTGGAAGTTCTCTGACTTCCACCAGCCACTCCCCCATAAAAATGTAATACCAATTGAAAATTTTTTTTGTCTTTCTGAGACAGGGTCTCCCTGTAGTCCCAGCCAGCCTGGGATGCAGAGATCTGCCTGCCTCAGCCTCCCAAGTGCTGGGATTAAAGGTCTGTGCCACCATGCCTGCCTCCCAAATATTTTTAAAAATCAAAGAAATAATTATTGGAGTTGAGAGATGGCTCCATGGGTAAGAGTCCTTGGGCAAGCCTGAGGGCTTCCGTTTGGATACCCAGTGCCCAGGTGGAAAGCCAGGTGTGGCACAGCCAAATGGCTAGCCTCAAGTTCAGTTCGAGACTGTCTCCAGGAGAAGGTGGAGAGGGTGGAGCAGGACAGCCCGTCCTCCTTTGGCCTCAGGTGCACCTGCACACATGACCCCACCCCCAGTGAAGCATGCTCAGATTATTTACATTACAAGTGGGAGAGTGTTTTGTTTTGTTTCAACAACGGACTTTATTGTGTCATAGTTCAGGGTTAGAAGTGCAGTCAGTGCATTGGCAGGCCTGCTCCTGGAAGCTGCAGACCTCCTTCCCTGCCTCTTCAGCTTCTGTAGATGGCTGTGGATTCTTGGTCTCTGTGTTGTCCCTTGGGGTTTATTCTCTTATTTTTTAGGGTTTTTTGTTTGGTCTTTTTGAGACAGGGACTCCTGTAGCCCCAGCTGGCCTAGAACTCACTGTGTAGACGAGGCTGGCCTCCATCTCTCAAAGATCCACCTATCTCTACCGCTTGAGTGCTGGCATAAAAGACCTGACTGTTGGAAAGACAGTTTCGTGTACTGCTGCTGGCCTGGTACTTGCTGTACAGCTGGGTATGGGGCCACCACATGCTGTTACTCAGTGCTGGGTTAGCCCAGGCCTCGGGCTTGCTTGCTTGGTCAGCACTCTGCTGACTGAGCAGCACCCCAGCCTTACTTCTTTTTGTTCCTTTAGACATGGCTTTGCTGTACAGCTCAGCCTGGCTTTGAACTCGTGATCTTCCTACCCCAGCTTCCTGAGTGTTGGGACTGCAGGCATATGCTACTGGATCTGGCTTTATATGTGGGGGTTGTTGAGACATGTTTATCCCTGTATAGCTGAGAGACTGGTCTTAATCTCCTGGTCCTATTGCCCCAGCCTCCAGAGTGCCCAGATACGGGTGGGCCATCATAAACTTAACATTTTAAATTTCATTTTTATGCTTTGAGCACTTTGCTTGCGTATATGTAAGTGCACCATGTGTTCAGTCCCTGAGGAGGGAATTGAATCCCCTGGAACTGGAGCTGTGAGCCTCCATATGGGTGCTGGGAACCGAACCTACTTTTTCTGCAAGAGCAGCCAGTGCTCTTAACCACTGAGTCAGCTTTCTAGTCCTTTAATTAAACTTTCTGATAAATGCTGAAATACAAAGGCGAGGTGTGTATGTTAGATCAGTAGTTATTAAATACAGTTGAAATCAATCTAAACATGATCTGAAGACTTGCTGTGAGTATTTACAATCTGATAGTCTCTGTGCCTTTGAGTTTTGGGGAGAGGCTGCAACAGCGTTTGAGACAAGGTTTGTAATGTAGTCCACACTGGCCTTGAACTCATATAACTTCGGCTGACCTTGAACTCAAAGCAGCAATCCTCCTGCCTCAACCTCCTGTGTGCTAGGATTACAAATTTTTCTTTGGGGACTACTTGGGTGAGCAAAACCTGTGGGCTTTTTTAAAAAAATATTTTATTTTATGTGTATGTATTGCCTGCATGTGTATAAGTGTGTCCATGTTGTGCAGTGCTGGCAGAAGTCAGAAGGTGGTATTGGATCCCCTGGAACTGGAGTTACAGACTGTTGTTAGCCTCCACGTGGGTGCTGGGAATTGAATCTGGGTCTTTTGCAAGAGGACTCTTAACCTCTGAGCCATCTCTCCAGCCCCATAACCTGTATTTTTAATTGCTTAGAGATGAAAAGGCTAAATGAAAGAAATGTTGGATAGCAACCCTTTTCGGTTTGCATTGAGCGTGCCGAGTACATGCTCTAGTACTGAGCTGTGCCCTCAGCCAGCTCACAGCATTCTCCCCAAGTCTGGAGTCAGTCACCTGGTAGGTCTGCACTTTCCCACTGCACCTGGGATGGCACTAGGAGAGGTGATGACAGGCAGGGTCAGGGTCTGACCAGAGCACTGTGAGGCCTGTGCTGTTGGGGCCTCATGCACTGGCCGATGTTCCAGGTGGGGACAGAGGTTGGGATGCCGTGGGTGGGTGTCCTGAGTCCTTCTTTGGCCCCATTGACGTGGTCCTAAGCTGATGGGAGCCGTACTCATGGAGGACCCGGTCACCCTGAGCTCTAGGCCAGCCTGCCATCCTAAGACTGTGGACCAAGTTATGAGCTTTAGAGTCCTTACAGTCCCTCACTTAATTCCGCCATGTGCAAGAGATTCTGAGGTCATGTAGTACATGAAGGGCATTTAAATTTAAGTTGGTTAAAAACATTTTAAATTGCGTGTGTGTGCGCACGCATGTGTGCATATGCATGCATGTGTGCTGAAGCATGAATATGGAGGTCAGAGGGCAACTTAGAGGCAGTTTTCCCTTGCTTCCTGTGGGACCCAGTAATCAAACTCAGGTCACCAGGCTGGATAGCAAACACCCCCTAAGACATCCCTCTGCCCATTTAAGTCAATCTTAGTCATTTGCTCACGTCATGAGCTCTGAGGACCTTTGACTTTGTGAGGACAGATAATGCTCACATACACTCATACACATAAAATAAATAAAAACCTTTAAAATTATATAGTTACTTGAGCTAGAGATCAAACATACTCAGTTAAAAATGAGGCGTCTGGGCCTGGAGAGATGGCTCGCTCACCGTTACATATGAGCACTGGCAACTCCCAGCACCCACATGGTGTCTGAAACTCCAGTTCCAGGAGCTCTGATACCCTCTTTGGCCTCTGCAGGCCATATACGTACTACATGCAGGCAAAACACCCATACATGTAAAATACAGAAGATAAATTTAAGGCAGTTAATTCCCTGTGGACAGCTTTGTTGTTTGGACCATAAAAGGAAACAGCAGTAGGGTTGTCGTGGTGTCAAGCCCTGGTGGAAACTCAATCTGGTACAGTGTGTTCATTCAGGGTCTCAGTGTCTTCACGGCTTAACCTGATGAGCCTTTCCTTAGGGGCGGGGGTCTTTTTGAGACAGGGTCTCTGTAGCCCCAGCTGACCTGGACCTCACTATGTAAACCAGACTGGCCTTGAACTTAGAGAGATTTGTCTCTCTCTGCCTCCCAAGTATTAGTTAAAGGCCTGTGCTACCTGTGCTACCAATTCTGGCTCCTTTTTCTTTTCATTAATTTATTTATTTATTTTGGTCTTTTTGAGACGGTCTCCCTGTAGCCCCAGCTGGCCTAGAACTCCCTATGTAACCTGGGCTGGCCTGGAACTCACAGAGTTCCAGAGAGATCCACCTGGCTCTGCCTCTGAAGTGCTGGGATTAAAGGTGTAAGCTGTGCCTGGCAAAACTTAGGTCTTCAGTGTCCCTTAGGAATTTTGAGTGTGCCCAAATAGCCTCAGGCAGGATCTGGGGCAGCTCCTTAACCCAAGAAAGGCCTCACCTGCCCCCAGTGGATCTCCATCATTAGACAGTGCTAGCACAAAAACAGTTATTTCTGTGAATGTAATTTTTTTTAACTCTTTCTCATTTGTAGGGGATACAAGCATTCAGATGGCAGATAACAGGTAAGCCAAAATGGACTTTGTTTATTGGAGTTTAAGTTTAATTAGGGACCTGGAGCCTGGCTGTAGTCCGTCCAGAAACTTAAGACTCAAAGTTCGATGCATTTAAAACTCGCAAGTGGTGACTTTTTCGGCTTTCGCTGTGTGGTGTGGAAGCAGTCTTTATGCTCCCTTGCCTCATCCCCACTGTCCCCACTCATGGTGAAACTATAGATTGACTTGACATGGACCCCAGGGATCATAGGGTGGATTTTTTTTGTGCTTCATTAAAGGTTGATGTTGTCCGTGTACCTATGGGGTTTTTGTTTCAGTATTTTAGTTGGCAGAATAATGGGCTTCATCGTGACATTTTCGTGCACGTACATCATTGTAGTTTGCTCATGGCTTCCCTTCCTCCCCCAGTTCTGTGCGCCCCCCCCCCCAGAACTCTAAGTCAGGATGTATGTGTGATTGTTTTTTTCATGAGGAGGATGTGTCTGGCTCTGGGGAAGCTGATGTTAGTCTCTGCTCATCGAGTTCCTTGTTTTGACGATTCTGCGGGGTGGGCATTTAGAGCACTGTGGCTACCATGTCTTACATGACAAGGCCTCGTAGGGCCACTGACCAAATACTAGCATGTCATTTGGTGTGGTTTGAATACTTTAAGTTGATTTTATAGTCAAGAGATTGATTGTAGAAATAAAACCTAGTTGTTGGGTGCAGTGGCGTATGTCTTTAATCCCAGCACTCGGGAGGCAGAGGCAGGGAACTCTGTGAGTTCAAGGCCAGCCTGGCCTACAGAGTGAGTTCTAGGACGGCTGGGGCTGCAGGGAGACCCTGCCTCAAAAAGACCAAAAAAATAAAAAAAAAATTTAAAAAATGAAATAAAAGTTAATGGGGACTGGAGAGATGAGTGGTTAGTGCTGTACTGCTGTTCCAGAGGACCCCAGTTTGATTCCCAGCACCCATTCTGGTAACTCAAAACCCTCTGTAATTTCAGCCTCTGGGATATCTGATGCCCCTGGTCTCCATAGGCACTTGCTCTCAAATGCACAGCCACACACACACACACACACACTCTCTCTCTCTCTCTCTCACTCACTCACTCACTCACTCACACCCCTCTATTTTTTTTAATCTTAGAATAAAACTCAGGCCAGCTGTGGTGATTCACACTTGTAGTCTCAGCACTCAGGAAACAGGAGGATTGCCAAGCTTTTGTAGCTTCGGCTGTGGGACTGGAGCGATGGCTCAGTGGGTAAGGGCACTGGCTACTCTTGTAGAGGCCCTGGGCTTGGTTCCCAGCACCCATGTGGCAGCTAATAGTCTATAACTCCAGTTTTAGGGTTCCAATGCCGTCTTACAACCTGTGAGGGCACTGCACACATGGTACACTTAACATACATGCACGCAAAATATTTATACATATAAAATAAAAGTAAAAAATTTTTAAATGAAGCTTTGGCAAGGGTTGCAAATTAGAGCCCTGCAAGGGCCGTGCTGGGTGGGGAGGGGTGGGAGGTGAGTAAGCGTTTCAGAACAGTGGGGGAATCTCCCTTGGGTAACATTAATGTCTGTTCTTTTCCACCTAACCTGAAGATGTTGCACAGATGTCTGGTATGTTGGGGAAATAGGGAATTCCTGTCTGTCTTTAGACCTTTCTTTATAATACTTTTAAAACTTCCTGTTCTAGTTTTTCAGATGGAGTTCCTGCAGAGTCTGTGGAGGCTGCTAACAATGCAGATAGCGCAGGTTAGTCCACGCGGATGGAGTCGTGGTTGCAGAGTTACTGTGTAGGGCCAGAATCTCTTAGTACCAGGAATGGACTTCTGTCCAAGATGGAAATCACTACCTTGTTTATCGATTAGTGACTTAAGACTCCTCAGAAGGGAAGACAGCACCGTTCCGAGCTGGCCTCCATGTCTTAGGTATCACCGCTGACCAGACTTGATCCTCGCCCTTGACTTCTTCCCTTTCTTACTTTGAAGCAAAACCCAGATGTGCGTCATTGGGTCCATGGGGTTCTTTCCCCATGAAGAAATCTGTGTATCTGATGGGCTGGATGTAGCTCGATGTTGTGTGAGAGCATTTACCATGCAAGGCTGACAGCCTGCGTTTGATCCTTAGACCCGTTTCCGAGAGCTGTCCTCTGACACCCCACAAACAGGCCATGTTCTCGGGCACACGTTATACACACCCACACGATAATAATAATAATAACGTGAAAAAAATTTTATCTATGTCTGAACTGGGCCTGATGATGTGTGAGGCAGTCACAGCATTCAGGAGTCTGAACAGAAGGATCTCAAGTTCCGGGTCAGCCTGGGCTGAACAGTGAGAGGGAAATTGCTTGACAGAGTCTCCGCCTGAATAGGTATTGATTCCCTCCAGCACCACCAAGGGAAGGGCAGTGCCTGCTCCCTCGGTGTCTCCTTGTGAGCTGGAAAATCGGCTCTAGCTACACCCTGGTGGTGTGTGTCTAGTGAGCTGTCAGAGGAGCAGGATAGTCCCTGGTGGTTTTTGTAAGCAGGGGCGGGTGTTTGGAGAAAATGGGTGGGTGTGAAGACCACACTGGGAGAGGTGGCTCTTTGGACTGAGAAACCCGTCTCATCTCTGTCCCTGGCTTCTAGACAGCAGAGGGATTGGGGAGGGAGGTATAACCAGAGTTAGGACCCCTGAAGTTCCTGTTAAATAGTGATCTCCTCAGATGTGAGGTTAGGGCTTAGCTGGCTACAGGGGAGAACTAATAATCTCCAGGTATCCCCAACCACCACTCAGTTGATCAGCAGAGAGTTTACAAAAGCATTTAAAATAAAGTTCTCAAAACAGGTGCTTTGCTATATTTAGAAATGAGTAGCTAAGTAGGTGTTTCTTTTTTTTTTTTTTTTTAAATTAAACACAGACTTCTGAGACTTCCTCTTCCAGGCCTAGTACAGGCCTCTTTTGAGACCCATTGTGAATATTGGCCTAAGAAGCACTAGGGAATGTGCTTCTAAAACACAAGTTTGTGGTACTGAGGGTTGAGTTCCAGGGCCCCGAGTGCTAGGCCAGCACCTGCTGTGGAGTTTTGTCCCCAGCTTTTTTTTTTTTTTTTTTTTTTTTTTTTTTTTTTTGAGATAAAACCTTACTATGTAGCTCTGGCTGGCCTAGAACTTATTACGTAGACCAGGCTGGACTTTGACCTATCACATTAATTTCATATGTATGGGTGGACGTGTGTGTGTGTGTTCTCCAGCTCTCTTACTTTTTGAGGTCAGCCTCCCCGAGTGAGTAGCTGGGATGATAGGCTGAGCCACTAGGCTAGATAGACACTGTGTTGGTATTTTGGGTTCTTGACTGTTAAATAATTTCTGTCTTGTTTCCAACTCTTAATAGAAAAGCTCACCGATCAGGTGATGCAGAATCCACAAGTTCTGGCAGCTTTACAGGAACGACTTGACAATGTCTCTCACACGCCTTCCAGCTACATAGAAACGTAAGTACCCTGCCAGGTATGTGTGAGCTGCATCCAGCAGCCTCAGAGTATGAACACATGGGGTTCTCGCTCTGTGGACAGTGCTTCAGGGAGCTAGGCCCTGGCATGGAAGGTGAATGCCACCCTGTGAGGAGCGGCCTGCTTGTCTGCATGCGTGCCCAGTGCCATCCTGTTAGGAGGGCTTGAGATCATCAGCTCTAGATGGCAGAGCAGGGGCTGGCAGAGGGCACCTCTGCCTGTCTTCCTCTGAGGAGACACCATCTCAGGTGGCCGGGCTCCGCTGTTACAGCTGCGGGGCCTGGCGCATTTGCTTGCACTCACTCAGAGGCTCTTTAGGGGATTAGGGGTTTTTGCCCTTTTTCACTTTTTTTTTTTGGTGCTGGGGTTGAATCTTAACACCTGACGGATACGTATCATAGCTTAAGAGTGTATTTTGTAGAGTAGGATGTAGTAATGTGGGGGAAGGGTTGGGGATGGGGCCTCTTGCTGGCTTTCAAAACTGAGCAAATGGAGTGGCACTGGCTCACTGAGAGGTGGGGGCGTAGGTCCAGCCTTGGGCCTGTGTGCTTTGTGGGGCAAGCAGTGCCTGGCTGTTGCTGGCTTCCTGTTTGGACTCTGCCTTGAGACTTGCTGCTGTGAACCAGTGTTTACCCAGGGCCATTGTTTGGGTTTAATTTAAACAATTCTTATAGGTTAAAATTTTATGATTTGACTTTAGGAGTGATCATATAAATGTGAAAAAATTAAAGTACAAAACAGAATGGAAAGACAGAGACGCTCCTAGTTGACATGGTTAGAAGAGAAGCTTGCATGTGGGGTCAGAACCCTGATCAGCTGCTGGTGTGGGTTTAGAGTGAGAAGTCCACTTTTAGCTCTTTATCACACTTAACTACTTATTTGCCTGTGTATTTTGGAGGGGTGCACATGTGAGGTCAGAGGACAGTGTGAAGGAGTTGGTTCTCTCCACCATGTTGGTCCTGGGGATCAAACTTGGATTGTTAGGTTTGGTGGCGAGCACTTTACCCACTAAGCCATCTTGCTGGCCCATTCTTTGTGTTTTTTTTGTTGTTTGTTTTGTGTTTTTCTTTTTCTTTTTGTAGTGTGTGGGGGATTGAACCAAGGGCTGTGTGCATGCCCTACCAGTGAGCGACATCTCAGTTCCTTGGTTTTTATCCTTTTGGGGTGGAGAAGGTTCCTGGAAATTGCTGTGCAACTCAAGCTAGCCCTGAATTCATGGGAGACTTAATGCTTCAGTCTCCCAAGTGGTGAGGTTGCAGGCATTTCCACCGTGTCCAGCTGGCTTCCTTTAGGTCTCTTCCATTACCAGTTTGGTTAAGAAAAAATGCAGTTCTTAAAAATTCATCCCCTCCCCTGTCTGGTGTGTGTTGTTTTGGGTTGGTTGATTGGTGTATGAGGTTGAACCTTCCCTGTATCTGGCACTTTGTGTGTTTCTTTGTGAAGTGGGCCTGTTTGTTGTTTGTACCTGATGGTTTTCAGGACCTCCTTGCGCAGGGGTGACCTTGTGTAACAGCGTGGTTGTGCCGCAGGCAGTAAGGTGTCCTGCTTCCTCCTGTCTTGTAGTTTACCCAAAGCCGTCAAAAGGAGAATTAATGCCCTGAAGCAGCTTCAGGTGCGGTGCGCACACATCGAGGCCAAGTTCTACGAAGAAGTGCACGACCTGGAGAGGAAGTATGCAGCGCTCTACCAGCCTCTGTTTGACAAGGTGCGTGTTCCACGTGCTTAGAGCCTTGTAGCTCCTGTAGGTGCGACCCCCACATTTCCCAGGCCTTGATGAGACAGTGAGAAATAGCTTTTAGGGTTTCCAGAGGCCTGAAATGCTGACACAGCCTTGTCTTCGTGCAGAGAAGAGAGTTCATCACTGGGGATGTGGAGCCGACAGACGCGGAGTCAGAGTGGCACAGTGAGAATGAAGAGGAGGACAAGCTGGCGGTAGGTGGAGGGAATAAGCGGTGTTCCGCTGGTCCTGTGCTGATGGCAGTAGGAGCCCAGGGCCTCACACCGTTGATCACCTTTCTCAGTTCTCGCCGCCAGGGCTATCCTAGCGGCAGGCGCCCCTTTCTCCCCTCCTAGCGGCAGGCGCCCCTTCCCTTCCTCCCCTCCTAGCGGTAGACGCTCCTTCCCTTCCTCCCCTCCTAGTGGCAGGCGCCCCTTCCTCCCCTCGGTTGGGCAGTGGGTCCCTTGTGACATTCTGTGCAATCTGAGGTGGTGCTGTCAGCTACCACACATAACACACAGCCCGCCTCTGTGCTCTTTGCTGCTGTGTGCTGAACACGGGGCCAGGCAGGCAGGCACTGCCCTCACCAGTGTGGGCCTGTCCCACAGGCAGTCTGCGGAGGGGGAGGCTCTTCTCCTGGGCCAGAGCTGTGTGCTTACCTCCAATGTGGAGGGGTCGCCTGGAGACCCCAGGCTGCTCAGTCCAGATTGGCAGGTGAGCTATCGGTGTCATGATATTATCTGCCCGTGGTGGTGGTCCCATTCCAATGCCATAGACAGTTCCAGCCACAAAGTTAAAAGTTTCTTCCCATTTGTTTGTTTGCTTTTTTTTTTTTTTTTTTAATCATTTTCAGATTGGCAGGAGCTATCGGTGTCATGATATTATCTGCCCGTGGTGGTGGTCCCATTCCAATGCCATAGACAGTTCCAGCCACAAAGTTATAAAATCTTCCCATTTGTTTGTTTGCTTTTTTTTTTTTTTTTTTATTTTTTTTCCTGTCTTTTTGAGACAGGGTCTCTCTGTAGCCCCAGCTGGCCTGGAGCTCTCTGTG